TAGAACATGTCAAATGTGGACATGAGGGGAACTGGGAGGGAGTTCGTGGGAGACAAACCTGAACAGAGATGTTTGGTCCAGATGTGAAGAGCTAGGTATCAAGCTAAAGAGTTTCAACAGGATTCTGTAAGCAGCATCAGCTGTAGAGGGGGTGTGTAGGGGAATTATGTTATCAGATCTCTGTCTACAAAGATTCCACAGGCACTTATGTTGTACCGTGAGAGAGTGAAAGCAAGAAAAGTTTTACAGTTTTCAAGGCAAGAAATAACTGGGCCCTGAACTAAGATATATGCAAGTAGAAACAGAGAGATGGACAGGAGTCAAAAGGTAGATCAGAAGGAAAGCTATAAAACACTGGGAGACACTACATGCTCTCAAAGGAGTTTAGAGTCCTTTTAAGTCACCTACTCTACTCCTATTTCACAGGTAAGAAATTTTCTTCCACAGGGGTCAAGTTATTTGCTCAGAATTACACATAGCTGGCAGCTTTTCCCAGTCTGGTCATTTTGGTTATTGCTATATATATTAGTTTGCTAGGGCTGCTGTAACAAAGTACCATAAATTGGGTGGCTTAAAATAATAGAAATTTATTGTCTCCTACTTCTGGAGAACTCCAAAATCAAGGTATTAGCAGGGCCAAGCTCATTCTGAAGCCTCTAGGGAACCCTGCCTTGCCTCTTCCTGGCTTCTGGTGGTTTGTCAACAGTCTTCAGTGTTTCTTGGCTTGTAGATTTACCAGTCCAATCCTCTGTGTTCACATGGCTTTCTTCCTGTGTGCACCTGCCTTCACACTGTCATCTTCTTATAAGGACACCTGTCATGTTGGATAGGAAGCCCACGCTACTCCTATATACGTCATCTTAACTAATTATATCTGCAGTGAACCTGTTCCCAAATAATGTGACCCTTCCAAGTAAGAAATTTATTTAACCCATGATACCATATCAAATTTTCTGACAAAAAAGGAAAAAGGACACTCTCTTGGAATGAATTTGCTTCCCTTTGCCTAAATATAGGTAAAGATCTCTTAGGCCCATATACAGAGATCCAATTACTCAAAACTAAGCAGGTCTTGCACTCTTGGTTAACGGTACTCATTTTAAACTTCTCCATTTGGACTTGAAGTGATTGGAATAATGGCGGTACTGTCTGGAGATCTCAACTTCCGGTTTCATTGTTTCCGCATTCAGTATCTCCATCCTGATGTCCTATTGTGATCTTTTGCAAGTCCCTGAGCTTACCCACAGACTGTCAGTTTATCTTTCTGTACAGCGGGAAGAAAGAGACTTTCTCTGTGTTGCAGTAAACTAAGCCTTGAGTGGACGGCGAATCTACGAAGTTATATCTTAGTCAGCAATTGCATTTCTCAGGAGAAAGGACCAGTAGCAATAGCAGAATGTTACCATTTCTGTAGTCTTCTTGATTTTTGACTAATGAGGAACCTAAGAGTCCAAAATAGCTGATTTGCCCTCACCCAGGAAATGCATCCCCTACCCGACTTCCTCCAGGAGTCTCTGGGTTCTGCAGCTGCTGTAACATCATACCTTCCCAGGGCTTTCACCTCTGTACAGACTCCTAGTCTGCTCTGCTTTGTCAAAAGTTTTTCTAAACTTCTCTGGCACCAGAAGCACCCCTTGAGGGATGTTCAGCTGAGGAAAGGGAATGGTGATAACAGCATTAGTTCAGATACTTCACATTTATGTCTTTCTTGTAAAGAGCGCCAGGGCCTTATAGAATCACTCAATGGCCCATTGCATTAATCTCAAGGCTCCCAAACAAGTGAAAGTTAGATCACACTAAAGCCACCTTCATTTAGAGTTTGTGGTCAATCAAACAGAGCCTAAACTGAAATTTAATTTTGCCCTAGCAGTGAGAATTTGCTAAGCAAATTAATGCTAGAGGGCAAACAAGGCTTCTTGAGGCTGCCTAAGAGCCTTTAAAGGACAACATGCTTTCAAGGGCTGGAAGCAGTCTTTTTACATGCTAATTACAAATCCTACAGTATTTGTGAAAGCAGGTCCCTCTGGGATTTCTATCAGCCAACAAGTTGTTTATTTCCAGTTTAAAGGAGGTGGAGGGTCTATGAATTATTGAGTAGCTACTATGTGTTTTGCTTGCACTTGGTGGTGAGAGATTGTTTATCTTCATAACCATCCTTTGAGCTAAGCATTGCCCCAGTTTGTACCTGTGGAATGGAGAGGTGGCTGGAAGTACAGAGCTAGTAATGGGTGGAGCTGGGATTCAAACGCTGGGAAGCCTAACCTCTGGAGGCTGTGCTCTCTCCTCCAGCATATTACCAACCTTTGAATGTAATGTCAGCTTTTCTTTAAGGAATATTCTCATCCAGCATTCTTAGTATTTCAGAATAGCCCGTCCCTAATTAGTTCAAATTAGCTAGCTTTGTAAACCCTTTTTCATTTCAGTAATGAGGAAAACGAGGCATTCAGCCAAGAAGCAAACTGTGGAAAGATAGGTTGCAGCAGGTCTGAGCTAATAAATTGCAGTCCATGGTGCTTCCTGAGACCTACCAAGGACTCTGAAAGAAGACAAGATGAAAAATCACTCCCTCTGTTAGATATATATTTTCTTTTGGAAAGATGTGTTTTCACCACTCACAGGAAAGACTGCTTGCTGGCCTTAGATAGCACAGAAATTGTCCTCAGATAATGCCAGTGAGGAACCTGCCTGGGAGGTCTAATCGACCTGGGATATGTAATAGTAGGTTTAACCCTTCGATTGCACCCTTTTCCAATACTGCTGTCACTGCCTACCAAGATCAGAAAAACTGACAAAATATTGGGAAATAACTTCATGTTTTCAGAAATGCTACAAAGCCCTCTCCACTCCCACCCATGAGACAATGTCTACAAGTCACATCATACCCTTTCAGCTTAGACTTATTTTTAAAGCACACACAAAACACATTTTAGTGTAATTGGAGAATTAGCGCTTTTGCCCCAGAAATGAAACAGCTGTTGATTTCCAGGCTGCTTGTCATTAGAGAGAAGACTTGAAACATCAGAGGCAAATTCAAACTCTCTAAGAGGCAGTATTGAACTTTACTTGTAGCTCATGTGCCAAGAGCTGCCCAGCAGCACAATGCATGAAACAAAACAGGTTTCAAGCAATTATAAGACACAACATATAAATCAAGACTTCAGAATCTTTATTAATGCTGAATTTTTTATTACAAAAAAATACTTTCAGGAAAACAAATATGACTCATGACTTATGAGACTGGCTGCTTGGATGCAAATCATCTCAACTGCTTGCACACTCCTTGGTACCTTTTCAGCTAAAGAGTCATTCAGCCTCAGCTTCAAGTGCAGAGGAAGTGCAAATAACCCCTGCACTTCAGAGCACAGCTTGCTTTGCTAAGAGACAGTTGAGCAAAATCCCAGCACGCTCTGATTCATTCTGCCTGCTGATTGGTCGTTCTCCCTGGCTGCTGACATCATCCTGTTACTGGGTGGAAAACTTATGCAGCACAGCCCTGATGCTGACTTCTGATTCTTGTGAAGGGGACATTGTACTCAACAGCGAGATCAGATCGTAGCTCAAATGGAATTGGAAGATATCTTTTTTTGTGTGATCACTTCAGTCATCTTATGCCTCTTAAATTATAGAGCCCTCCCAACCCCCATGCAGTAATCTAGCAAATGCTATTGTGTGGCACTTTCCCTTCCAAGCCACCCAACCCCCAACAGCCTCTAGAATACAAGAGAATAAGAAAAAAACCTTATCGTTTGCCTTTGACTGTAGATGGAAGATGTCTTACATGTCTTCTAGGTGGGGCTGGCCTTCTGATTAGTTCATTTGTCTTTACTATCAGTATTAAACTATGTCTTCACTTGCTACAAAGAATTGTGAAGCAATATTTAGGACTTTCTATAAAAAATGCCTTATTACCTCTCATTTATTTTCCCAGCATTCTGTAAGCCTTAGGTAAACTGGGGAAGTAATGGCAAAGGCCAACTTGTCTGTTGCTCTTTACAGTGTGCAAAGAACTTTTTTATATACAGTGTCTCATATGTTCTTCACAGCAGTCCTATGAATGAGGTGCTATTACTTCCCCCACCGTATAGATAAGAAAACAAACCCCCAAATATTAAATCCGTTGCCAGCCACATAGCTCGCACATGACGAAGCTGGGACGCAAACCCATGGTTTTTAATCCTAGTTTTTGAACTCTTTTCACTCCATAGAATCTTTCAACCTTGGGAAGCTAAGTGATTTGCAAGAACCAGTGCAAATTAAGGAGCTAAACCAGTGCCAGAACCCAGCAATTCTTGTTCTCCACACGAGGCCTTTTCTTCTAAACCTCTTGGTAGCTCTGAAGACAACATTAGAGATGCTCTTAGATACACATTTATTTTAGAAATCTTTGGCTTTCACAAGCTTTTACTGATTAAGTGCAGCTTTGAGGGAAAAAAAAAAAAGAAGCCTAATAATTCAGATGCACATTTGCATTTATTACATAAGGCTTCCGTAAGGGATAAGATTATCCAGTTGCAGGCTTATTTTAAGTTTTAATGGAATGATTTTGACAGAGCAGAAATAGCAGGCTTAGTAACTAGCTCGGTAACTTAGATGTCAGAGACATTTCCATGGTGGATAGAGGGGCTCCTCAGCTCTCAGGAGACACTGGATTTCTCTTGTTTATCTCTGGCTGGGATGATTAACCACTCTTAGCTTGGCTTTCATCTTTCCTGGCACAGCTTTGTCTTTCATCTCATTCATTGCTCCAAAACCTTCTTCTTTTTAACCTTTAATTCACATACAAAATATTTCAGCTTCCCTAAGTTATTTTTACATAAGCAGAGCAGAAAAACATGGATATACTTCACGGAGCCGGCCACATTTGGTTTGCTCAGGCGAAAACAATGCTCCCTTATCCATCTTTATTTTTAAATGAGACAAAGAATCCTTCAAAAAGGCTTAGGAGACTAAAATGTTGGAGGAAAGGAATGAAAGAATGGGGGGCAAAGATTAATCAGACATGGAGGTGAATATTTTTATTTTCTATCTTGATCTTTGTGACTGCAGCCCCAAAACACATAGTGGGGTGACTTATATTTCACAATGTGCATAGCTGATTCTGTGTACTTTGCAATCTTCTCTCATTTTCCCAGTAATTGCCTTTTTTCACCGTGGGGCTGTTTGTCCCCTTGACGCCCAGGTCTCCTACTTCCTGTGTATGACTTAGGCACATCTAGCTCACTCTAAATTTCAGCAAAATGTTCTCTCTGAAAGTGACTTCATTTCACACCACTCAGATCTTCACATTTTCACCGCCTGTGGAAATACAAACTTACTGATTTTTGTCTTTCTGTGTTATTTGAAGGTAACAAACAACTTGCTGTGCTGAAAAACAGAACTGTTGTCTCATGGAGTCCCCAGAGTAATGGGCAGTTCCCACATCCAGCTCTCTGCCTCCCTGTTCAGTGGACCTACCACACCTTTGCTTCTGCTATCTCTTTTGCCTGAAATGTGTGTCTTAAAATATGGCACAGTAAATGCTGAGCAAAAACAACAAAATCCTATGGTCACATAGTTAGTGGCAGTTGAAACTGAAATTAGACCTCAGCCTCACATGATTATTAAACGAACATTTTAATGATAAAGAAAGACATTAATGTAGGCTAAAAACAATGTGTGCACCATCCAATTCCAAAACTCCAGACTGGCACAGTGACTAACACCTGGAATCCTAGCACTTTGGGAGGCCAAGGCAGGTGGATCACTTGATGTCAGGAGTTCGAGACCAACCTGGCCAACATGATGAAACCTATTAAAAATATAAAGAAATTAGCCAGGTGTGGTGGCAGGAGCCTGTAATCCCAGCTACTCAGGAGACTAAGGCTTGAGAATCGCTTGAACTCGGGAAGTGGAGGTTGCGGTGAGCCGAGATGGCGCCACTGCACTGCAGCCTGGGTGACAGAGCAAGACTCCGACTCAAAAACAAACAAACAAACAAAAAACAAAAGTCCAGACATGAAAGTCCCTGCTGTGAGTCTGGGACTTGGAATCAACCCACCCAGCCCCACTCCCACTTCATCCATTTCTCCTACCTATTTTTCACTCTGGGAGATTCATTTTGCCCAGATAGTAGGAGCAAATCAGGCCCACAGCTAGACATTATGTTCTAAGCTAGATGATCTCTAAGGACGCTTCCAGTATGACATTCTATGACTTTGAGCCCTTTGCAAAATTGTGTGCCAGATTAAGAGTTCAGGCTGTGGAATCAGGTCCTATTAAAACCTCAGCTCTGCAACACACCAGCAGACTACAGGGAGAGTGGAAGAGACGGAAACCAAGATAACAGTGGGGATGATTTAACCTCCCTCTGTCTGTTTCTTTCTTTCTTTCTTTTTAATAAACCAAGCAGAGTAACATACCTGCCTCTTATAGAAGAGGATTAAATAGGATAATACTTGTGAAATCCCTAACACAGAATTGGATGTGGGATGTTCGAAAATCCCAGTAAATGTTGCCAAGTATTTTTGCCAAACTGATAGAAACTCAGATACATTAAGAAAGAAAAAAAAAAGATGGAGAAGAATTAATAAAAGCAAATTTCAAAAATCAGAATCTGTGGTCCTCATAGTTTAGGTAATCAAAGATAAAGGCAAAACATGTGGGGATAGAACGAAAACTCTAAATATCTGAAGATGGTTTACATCAAAAAGAAGAATTTTTATTTCTCTTTCAATGAGCTTTCCCAAATTAAGCTGTAGTTTTTATTATATTTATTTAGTATACCTGTTCACCATAGTTCTACTGTCAAATTCCAGGATCTTTCTACATGTCCTTCCCATGAAATTGGAGATCAGTGATAAGGGGGTTACACATCTCTTTTCTCCTGATTTCACTGCATCATTTGTAAAATCTCTGAGATAATCTGAAGACACTAAAAACTCCTATGACATATCAGGAAGTGCTCCAGAGACCAAAGTGTATGATTCTGTGGAGCCAACACCACGGCATGAACGTGGGACCCAGTTCCTAATCACATACAGCTAAACTGGGAACTGCCAGAAGGGCTACATTTTATATTTCAACCCTCAAAATTTATCAAATAGCCTGGCTGTTTTGAAAGTCCATAAAAAACCGGGTGCGGTGGCTCACGCCTGTAATCTCAGCACTTTGGGAGGCCAAGGCGGGCAGATCACGAGGTCAGGAGATTGAGACCATCCTGGCTAACACGGGGAAACCCCGTCTCTATTAAAAATACAAAAAATTAGCCGAGCGTGGTGGCGGGCGCCTGTAATCCCAGCTACTCAGGAGGCTGAGTCAGGAGAATCGCTTGAACCTGGAAGGTGGAGGTTGCAGTGAGCCAAGATCACGCCAGTGCACTCCAGCCTGGCAACAGAGTGAGACTCTGTCTCTAAATAAATAAATAAATAAATAAAAGTCCCTAAAAAATCATGCAGGTTAGGTTACTGAACAATGCTTACTGTCTGTCACGTGCAATACAAATACACTGTGCTCAATTTTGAGACTATTGTGATGAATAAAATAACAGCCCCATACTGATAGATGCATAACAACATTAAAATGTAATGTCATGAGTAGTGTGGCATAGGTATTCACAGGTCTGTGGATGCCCATAAATCAGGCACTTATTTCTAGCTGTAAAATAGGGAGAGGCTTCCCCGGGAAAAAACAGCGTATGGTACCCTACATGTACTGACCTATCAATTAAGAATCACCTGGAAAGAAATCTCTACTTGTGCCATGCTAAAGGGCTCAAGGACCCTCTGAGACCTGTCATCAAAATTTTTTTTTTTTTTTTTTGGTACAGTCTCATTTTATTGCCCAGGCTGGAGTGCAGTTGCGTGATCTTGGCTCACTGCAACCTCCGCCTCCCGGGTTCAAGCGATTCTCCTGCTTCTGCCTCCCTAGTAGCTGGGATTAAAGGCGTGCACCTCCATGCCCGGCTAATTTTTGTGTTTTTAGTAGAGACGGGGGTTTCACCATGTTGGGCAGGTTGGTCTCGATCTCCTACCTCAAGTGATCCGCCGGCCTCGGCCTCCCAAAGTGCTGGACCAATTTTTTAAGTAAGATCTTGAGTTAACAAAAAGAAGACATGTTCATCAGATCTGCATGTAGCATAAAGTTGGATGAAAGAGCTAGTAGCATGATTCAAAAAGATATAGCAGGCAGGGAGGATGGCCTGAAACCAAGAAAAATGTAAAAATTTGTATTTAAAAAAATCAAACGTATAAGAACAGGAGGTGAAAAAACTGGTTCAGAAGCACTCCATGTGAGAAGACACAGGGAATGATTAGCTGGAAGTTCTTGGTTTGACTATTAGCTTCTTTAATGAAACAAAATGTCGTTACTAAACTGTCATATCTTCAAGGACAGGGGTCACATCTTAAATATTTTAATATCTCTCCCTTGTCTAGCATAGGGCATAAAACAGAGTATGTGCTCAATATATCTTTCTGAAACGGAGTCAAAACTAAGAATGGCCAAAGGAACAGCCTCCACTAAAGAATGGACTGTGGTCAGAACCACCAGAGAAGGCTGTTGCAGTTCTCGGCTCATGTACAGTCTTTCTGACACTGCCCTAGGCTTTCTCCTCCCATTTTCTTCTTAAGATAAAAGTCAAAATCTTTTGCATGATGTAGAAGGTGGGACCTCTTCCCCGTTTGTCCTAAAGCCCCACTCCCCACTGCTCTCTTCCTGGCTCACATACTGCTCCCACTCTTTCAGTTCCTTCCAGTCTGAACAAGTGCCAGTCTCTTTTCATGGAACACTCCTCACCGGCCTCTCACACTCACACACATGCACATGCACACACACTCTTGTCTTTTTAACCTCCCCCTCTCTTTCTCTTTCTCCCCCTCTCCCAACTTTCCCCGTGTAGCTTCAGTGTAGGGGCCCCACAGGTTCAGCACATTTCTCCTCAAAGCAAAGAAAGGACAGCTGAGAGTACGGATGAACAAAGCCTCATAACCGCAGGGAGGGCTGTTCCCTGGAGGAACAGAGAATCACATACCAATGCGAGACCCACTGCATCTGGGGGAGGAGATTCCTAGAACAAGGACAGGGCTGAATACAAAGGAGAGGGGCAATTTTGCAGACCCAAGCTGGCTAAGAGTTACCCAAAGGATGACAAAAGTAGCAATTACTCACTGCAGCCTGAACACTAATTCCTATCCTGAAACTTACAACTATATTCAATATTACATTTACACATGATACATGATATAAATTTGGTTTACAACCACTGGTTATTAAAAACTCTTGAGTCATGCAACTCATATTTTATTAACCTGATAAGAATTCACTATTCTTGTAACAGATCAGATGACTTTTCTGCATGGACTTTATTTATTTTCTTCCAAAACATTATTGTATTGAGGATATAATGATGAGAAAAAGTGTCCTCATGAAGCATATAATCTCATGGAGAAGGCAACCAAGCAAAAAGACAAACAAACAAACAAACACAATTGCAAAGAAGGTGAGAAGTATTGCAAGAAAATAACCCGTAACCATATTATTGTATCAAGATGTAAAATGATAAAGTGAAATAGTTTAATCAAGCTCCTTCATGACTAAATATCAGTTTTCTGTGTTAACTTGATGAAGATGGCAGAAAGGTTATTTTTACTAAAGTAAGTTTTTCCCTGGCATGTCTGAAGAAAAGGCATCTACTTACTTGGAGTTTCCAGTTTCAAACTCAGCAAAGGCACTACTGCAACACAGCAGACACTGAAATCGGCACCTTTGGAGGCACAGAAAATGTAACAGAGTAGTTCAAGTCAAACAGGTGGCTTCCATCAGTGGTTGGGTTGTAAAGAATAAAAAGGGAGAAAAGCGAGAAGATTGGCAATGTCTCAAATCCCACAACCCTCAATCCCTTATGTCACCCATAGTTCTGATGTGGGTCTTGAGTTTCACTTATTTTTCTCAGATTGATGCTTTCAGCTTTTCTAACAGGGTGTATGACCTCTCAGGTGTCACCTTTGCTGTGGATGTTCTTTTTTCCATGTGCAGTGATATGGCATATGACTTAACCTTCAGAATTTGAAGTTCACGAAAAGGTTTAGATGATCCCACTCTTCTCTTGGGCAGAGAATAGCAAAGCTTTATCTTACTTGCCTCTCCAGCCTCCATCGTAAATTTCAAGTTATTTTGCTCCTGAATAATGGCAGTGGTAGCTGAATTAGAAAGGTCACTGGAATTCTGATCTCAGCTTTTCACTTGTTTTTATTTTTATTTTATTTTATTTTATTTTTGAGACGGAGTCTCGCTTTGTCGCCCAGGCTGGAGTGCAGTGGCCGGATCTCAGCTCACTGCAAGCTCCGCCTCCCGGGTTTACGCCATTCTCCTGCCTCAGCCTCCCGAGTAGCTGGGACTACAGGCGCCCGCCACCTCGCCCGGCTAGTTTTTTGTATTTTTAGTAGAGACGGGGTTTCACCATATTAGCCAGGATGGTCTCGATCTCCTGACCTCGTGATCCGCCCGTCTCGGCCTCCCAAAGTGCTGGGATTACAGGCTTGAGCCACCGCGCCCGGCCTTTCACTTGTTTTTAAAAACGCTTCCTGTCGCTTGTTAAATCTTAGTTGCTATTGTTAAGTAGCACACTGTATTTACGGTGTGGGTTAAGAAACATCAAGAAAACTGTTCTGGATTACTTTGTCAACCCATTTACAGAAAGCACAGATGTGCTACCCTCAGGTGACCTAGGAGGCAATGGGTTCCCCTGTCATTGCTGGCCCACACTGTGTACCCAGATAGACTAACATTTTAATTTCTGCCTCTTTTGTGCCTTCCATTATCCTGGGGTCCAAGGTATAAACGTGTCTGGAATCACAATTTGTGGAAGGTTAGTAAAATTTTGAAACAGGACCAGGACCAGTCAGTGCTTGAGATGGATTTTTTGGAGTTTCTCCAAATGTATGGGTTGTCCATTTGTGTCATGTGGCCAGACTTGAGTCTAGAATAGACAGTTAAGACAAAATTATACTTACTGCAGGCTAGTTTTACAATGGAAAAAAACTAAAGGGAGCAGTCTGGAGAGGATTGCCTCTGTGCTTTAGAAGGCTTTTTCCATAGAGGAATGCTGCTTGAACACAGTAAGGCTTTAGGATCCTTAGGAGGCCATTACTATATAAAGGATGATTTAAATGGAAAATGATGGTGAAGACTGAAAAGGCCCTGGTTGTTGGCAACTGTTCTGTCTACTCAAAAGGAAGATAGTTGGTATCCCAGCACCACCATGTATCAGCTATATGAATTTGAGAACGTTAACTTACTTCTCAGAAAAGCAGTGGTATTATGAAGTTAGGGTTAAATGAGTTAATACGTATAAATGTTTAGCGCGATGCCTGACACATTGAAAGTATTCTGCCAAATCTTATAAAGAGACAACCTAAAATATTATACTTTAGTGGTTTATATGGTTTTTGGGGTTCACTTTGGGAATTTGATGAAAACTGCAGATTCTTGCTCCTCAGGAAAATATATATATATACAAATTTTTTGCACAGCTTTAGGAAATTCAAAGATCCAAAGCAGTACAGTGATAGATTTAAGATTAAGATCCTTTGTTCTAGACCAAGACCCATTCCCAAAGAAAAAATAAGGTCCTCAGTTTAATTTATATTTTATATGTTTTTGATCATTTGTAATCGTAATCTCCTTTTTAAATTTGGAAGGGATCTTATCTAGTCTAAATTCTATATTTTATTTATTTTATTTTATTTAGGAGTAATAGTACTAAGGTCCTGAGAAAATACTTGGTATCTCAGTTAAGCTGAGAACTCTTTATCAATTTTGCATTTCTATAATAAAAAAATTAAATGCATTTTCTCTTTATCCACTACCCTTCATGTCTGAGCTCTTCCTTAAATTTTACTTATTTCTACTTTGTTCCTAATCCTGTTCTCTGAGATACATTTACAGCCCTGAGAAATTCATGTCTATTCCAAGGTCCATGACAGATATAACAATCTTTTCATTTCTGCATATTTAAATTAGCATATTAAACTCTGCTCTGCCATATCCAGTTGATATTGTGGTATTTAATGGAAAAGAACTTTGTGCTGTGCTAGAGTAATAACTTCATCAGGAAGGAATTTAAATTAACAAAGACTTATTGAACACCTACAATGAGAGAAGCTTCATTCTATGTCATCTGGAATACATGAATGAACAGAATCCAGACACAGTGCGTGCCCTCATGGAGCTTAGAGTCTAACAATGAAAATGGTCTTTCTTTCAGAAGAACATTCTGAGGTTAGAATTCAGTTCATGGATGGGGCCAGAGATGAGCTGCAAATTTTCAGCCATGTGAATGCCACCAATGTCTCCATTACCACTCCACAAGACACTTGCTTTCATTTGCTTAAACAATAGCTGATTCATCATGGGCAGCACAAAACACAGAATGACCGAAGTATGTCTAGGCAAAATCCCATAACTTCCCCCTGTCAGGAGCATGAACTACTGAGAGCAAATAGGACATATTTAGGAAAGTCATCTCTAGGCTTTTCAGTGCAAAAATAATTTTAAGCTCTTCTACTTTGCTACCAGGATAATTTGGGTGACTTTTGAGGAGAATTTTAACAATAGAGCAAAGGTTCCAGGGTTTAGCAGTTTGCTATAGTTAGAAGGTGGCAGGAAGTAGGACAGATGATGTGAAAAGAAGCAGATTAATAAAAAGGATGGGAGACTGGGACATGAAAAATTGGAAGTATATCAGATATACGTGACAGGGCCAAAGCAAGAGACATGAAAAGGCCTTGAAATCATGTGACATTGTTGAAACTGTTTATTCCTCAGAGCCCATGGATCCCAGTGACATGTTAGCTCTTCTGACTTTGCATCACCAGTGGTGATTCATAGGCTCTAAGGAATTCACCTAATCTCACTCCAGAATGGGGTTGAATGATGTTGCTGGAGCCCTGAAGACAAAAGGCAAAGAGAACAAAAAGCTGAGCTGGCCCAGAGCTGGTAGGGTGTGACTCCAGCCTCTACTCACCCTGGGTTGTCGCCTTATCTAGGGGAACGGACTGCTGGTCTTCATTTCAAAGCTACTATGGGAAGCACCAGGGCTATGGAAACTATGATACCAACACATAAAGGCATCTACCTTCCTTTTGCTTTTTCCACTCAGAAAAATGTTACCCTACTTGGTTACCCTCCATATCTAGAAACTTATTCTTGTTTGGCTAAATATACCCTCTGGTTCTTTGAAAAAGGGGAGAAACTCTTTCCAATGTTCTTAGGAGGACTGAACTCAGACTTTGCTTCAGCCCCTCTTACCTGAGATGCCACTGTACAATGAGCTAAGCACTATAGGTGAAAAGCAGAAATTAGGTTTATGACATCTGAGGAAGGTGAAATCAACCTAAATGAGTTGCATCATTAGCTCAAGAGAAGAAAATCATTTACTTATGACCTGGTAAAGCAGGGATTTTTCATGTGCACTCATAATTCATAGGCCGCAATATTTTTTAGCAGAGGAATTGCTTATCTCCTCTTCTGGTGAATGCTTTGATAGACAACAGTATAAATATCCTGTAGTATGGGTCTTTGGTTTTGTAAACAATAAAAAATAAATAAGGCATTTTGCCTGATGACTAAGCCAGACTTACAAAGAAAGATGCTTCTACAGACAGAAGGCAATCATAAAATGCAAAGAAGACCTTCTAGAAGAACTGTGGTGCTTGGTACACACTTAAATACTCTTACCCATTTACCACCAAGGGGACCCTCTGAGCCCAGCCCCATATTTATAAAAACCAGACCTATTTATGTTTGGGTTCTTCCTTGAGTCGTACAGAATACATTGGACATATTATCTTCTATATTTTGTTCATATCACAAAAGGTAGTTGCTTCCTGCTGAGTGAAAACAGGAATCATTACCTATGGCCAGTAGACAAAGCTCTAGAAGTATTCCAAAGCACTCTATTTCAGAGTTCCAGCTCTTAAATGGGAACAATATCTCCTTTTCATTAACTGGAAAACTGTAATTTTTTCAGTTAAAAACTTAAAGAATGATCTTCTTAGAAAAAAGAGAATTTGTTGGGAGCAGGACACATAAGGGTAAATATATGTGTGTGTGTATTTGTGTGTGTACACATAGACTCATCTGCGTACACATAGACTCATCTGCATACACATGTAACGCCAAATTTTAGAAATCATCTGTCTTCATCTAGAGAGAGGTTAGAATGAAGAATACATTCATGTCATTTAATTTCTCCATGACCTTAGCTTCTTCATTATTCAACAGTATCACTGACACTGAGTTCTCTTAGAATCTGACTGGATAGACTAGCTAACGGAAGACAAAAATGTACTTTGCAAACACAAGTGCAATAAAGACGTTTAATGATAAACCCTGAGTGTTATCAAGCACTTGAGGCCCTTTTAAATCAAAACAAACTGTCTTGGTAAATGGTACTAGGGAACCCAAAACATTAAAATTCAAGTAAATTTCAATTGCTGTTTAAAAATATATTTTTGTATGAAATCTTTTAAAAATAAAACAAATAGCTAACATTTACTGAGTACTCATGATAGGGAATAACCTGTTCTAAGTGCTTTATATATGTCTTTTAATTTAATCCTCACAAAAAACCTGTGAAATAATGAAAAATGAAGTTTGAGGAGTTTTTGAATGGTGACTAGATTATACAATATTGAGGTAAAAAAATAACAGAAAATTTTCAATTTCACTCTTATAGAAGTCTTTAGGCAATATATTTTAGGT